TATCTAAACCAGGAGCTTTGTTATTAGGACTCTGTACAATAATATCATGTATTTCCTGAGTAACGATAGGATTAATTAAGGTAGTATCATGGTTTGAAAATGATTCTTTGTAATTGCGTTGAAACTCAGTTTCAATATTTCGCATAAAGTCATTATCAAAATGTGGAAACTGTTTGGGAGTCCCTAACATCTCAAAATGATCTGCCCATGCGTCCCTAATTAGACATGGATCTCTAATTATTGTTCCATCAACTAGTAATTCGTGCGAATTTGTTTTAAGTTTTCTGGATTTCCTAACCAGACGATAGAAATCATTTATGTTGAGCTCAGCAGCTTTGTCAAATTTAGAATCAAGATTACGTTCATAATTTATTTTAGCCTTCCGCAGTTCTGCACGAAAGAGACGTTTTGCATTTTTATATTGTGTTAAAGCTACATTGTTATGATTTCTTGGTCGTCCTGCGGAGATCCAAATGCGTCTAAACTGTCGCATTGATACATGAAGATTTTTAACTGCACCATATTTCCAAAAAGGATTCAAAAAGTGGTGAAATTGAGATTTAGGTATCGCAAGGTCTGCTGCATCATTTAAACAATCGACAATTTCATGTGTCAACTTTTCCAGATCAGACGGATTATGTGCATTCGAAACGTTAATTTCTTTTAGTTTACTCTTAACAATATTACGATATCTAGTGAGCTGGTCTTCGTTAGCATTATTCCATCTTAGAACACTTTTATAGCTAGTTTCGAAACACCTACTTTCTAATTCAAATTGCATATATATCGGATTATGATTGGATAGAATCAAGTCATGATCATTAAGAACTGCACATTGTTTCACACAATCCAGTTTAGAAGCAGGTATTATGATAAAGTCAATGCATGATTGATGTTCAAAATCAGAGCTACAATACGTATACACAGGGCCTGTCGTCAGGTTTTGTGCATTAGCACATACCAGATTAGAATCAAAAATAAAATTCTCGATACATTTTCCTCTATCGTTAATAGCACCAATAGAGCGTGGCCCTATATTAGAGGATAGGTGGGCATTAAAGTCCCCTGCAACTATAACAGTACCCTTACTATTGTACATATCAAAAATATCCATCAAATTTTGAACATACTCACGGTACTCAAAAATCGACGTATTACTACAGGGTAAATAAACCCCTATTATATACAATGGTTCATTTTCTAGACCTATCTTTATTCCACAGATTCTGTCATTTTCAATGTCTAATTCCGAAACATTTTTAATTGAATTTCTGTATAATATCCCGACGCCACCTTGGCCGCGTCGTTTATTTACTATATCGATAGGAAGTGATTTATCACAGACAGCAACACTAGAGAAATGCGAATCAATGGAATTAAGATAATTAACATTGCAAGGATAAAGCCAATGCTCTTGTATAACACAAACATCAATGTCAGATAACTTCTGACATAAATATGGCGTACTGTACATGACGCCTTGTACATTCCATGACATTAAGTTAAGTTTAGCAGTCATAGAAAAAATGACAAATATATATACAATAACACTTGAACTAATCAAAGTCTTCATATACAGTTTTGTTCTTATTAATCCACTCTTTCGAAATTATACCTTTAGGCCAAAAGGCAGGATCATCAATTATATATTGAAAGTGTTTTGCTACAACATTTAGCCTCAAGGAATAAGCTGTGGTGATAGGAGAGTGATATTCCTTCAGGAGTCGAACAAAGGTAACAGTGACACCTTTGTTTCGTGCATACAGTTTCAGTTTGTTGCTCAATTCTTCAAAGGGGAGTTGAGATCTAACACGTGATATGAATAGGCGTTTAATATTTTGTCGACTATGTACACCTGTGAATCCAATATCGTCCGGGTTGTTAAAGGTGGATACACTATCAGAGTTAGATGATCTCGAAGAAATAGGAATGGTAGGAATAGGTAGTGAAGCACTGGGGGCACTGTTACTGTTAACAGGTGTTGTAACATTAGCTGCAGCAATCTTGTTTGATTTAACAGTGGATTTGTTAATCGCTTGTGGAGATCTAGTACAGGTTGTTTTGGGCGGTGTAATTGCTGCTTTTAGACAGAAAGTATGGGCACAATCACTAGAATTAGTTGCTGATGTTAAGTGAGAAGAAGTAGTAACATCAGAGAGTACATTAGTTGCCATCGCAGCACTATTTGTCGTGACACTGTTGTCTTCAGCATCTTGATCAGCAGTTGTAGTTATGGTGGACTTGGCTATGTCGGTAGCATTATGTTCAGGTAGGTCAGTACTCTGGAGCGGTGAGGAGGAACTGTGTTGCATTATTGGTGATGGATCAGTGACGACAGGTGAATTCCTATTTGCAGTATATGAGTGGTTGCTCCTTGGGGAGTTATCAGAAGATGTCATCACCAATTTACTAGTTTCATTAACTCGATTTAAGGTGATGTTCGTGTTGACACAATTTTTATGGACAGTAGCTAATTTGCCCTCAATTATGTTCAGTTTTGTTTTCAATTCATTTTCGCATAAAGACAATTTTGATTTCAAAAGAAGAATCTCATTGTTCTTATCTTTGATTGTAGAGTTTATCTGTTTTAAGTCATTTTTTGCTCTAAATTCCGAATCTCTCAATTGTTGTTCATTGCGTTTCAACGCTTCATTTTCATTTTGAATTTGTTTTATTTGAAGTTTCTGTTCATCCAGTGTTTGAGAGATGTTTGCACATGTCTCTTTAATAGATAATAGATGATTCATCATCGATTCTAACACAGGTGATGGGACTAATGTCGTATTCTCTGTTGGATCAACAGGTTTTGCCTGTTTAGAAGTAGTTAAGCGGACTTTCCGTGGGTTTACCATAGCTTTAATATCGCTGATATTTCCAGCTCCCTCGATGAAAAGAAATAAGTGATAAATATCAGTAGCGAGTTTTTCATTCGCACTGGAACTGGCTTTTTTCTTTCTACTTGGGAGACGGCGCACGAGAGCACCTTTAGGCATCGCATCTTTCTTGTGGATTCTTGCATAGTCGAATAAAGCTTCACGTGTAGCTACCAATCCATCTGTATCTTGGTTATCACAAAGATGAAATGGGCATCGTGATATAAATTATCACACTACATCGCATCTAGGTGATAAAAAACGTCAACGTAAATTTGCAGTAGTTTGGCTAAGATACTCATGTCTGGGTTATACTCATGATATACAATAGGGCTAGATGCCGAAACGAACCGTTTCGGTAACCAGCTTAATCGAGTGGATCACCAGTGAACCGCAAGCTTGTGTGGAAGAACAAAAGCTTATATAGGCACACCGTGGAAAAAGAAAGATTTGAGAGTATGCTCTCAAAGATACAAATCCCGAACATCTCTAACATCTCTAACAGTGTTCCACGTCTTTAATTTTCAGCTAAGATGTCTATTTGTTGGATTAAACGTCTGTCTACATGTTGTTCAATCATACAGTATACTAGTTTAGTTAATGATAACCTTACAAATGAGAGCCCTCATTAAGTTAGTATAAAGTATATCCATGCATTTTCTAAACAGTGCAATGAATAATTTTAGTTTTCCTTCTTTTTGATATGCATATATTCGTAAGGGAGCACTGTACGAGGGGTGATCAATAAGTAATGGACGCTTTTTTACACAGATGCTTTTTATAGACCAATCCCTTTGATTTTCTTACCATCGATACATCATTCAATTATCTATCAACTCTGAAGATTTGAAGATAAAATATATAATACATGTTGATATATCCTCATTTCCGTGAAGGAGGTACGGGTACCCCGGGACCGACATTTACGTCACATATTCTGAAGCTATTTTAGCTTGTTTAACATGCAATGCAGTTGAATGCAGGCTGAACAAAACAAACCATTATGGTCATGAATTACCCCATTTTGTTATGCCATAGTTGCTTTTGAATATTTTATCATCACTATGTGGTATTCATGCCATATTTATTCCACAGGGCCCTCTAAATAGGTTCCATCAAGTGCTACATGTACACAATTCCTCATCCTCTTAACTCAAGATTGTGAGACAAGGCTGAATCCATTCTCTGACATGGTAGCAAGATACAGTTGCATCGGTTGTTTTATTTAATCAATGTTAATAAACCTGCGTCCTTTCTCTATAGAAATAAGTAGTATAGAATTAAACAAGTCACATGTAAGCAGATGGGGACAATACAGTGCATTGGCCAACGGCTCAATTTTGAGGTCCAGGGATATTGTTTTCTGAACATTTTGAGATATGTGGGCAGGTGCATTGACCATATGGAGTAGGGTGTTCCCTTCTCTCACCACCCCTTTCTTACACAATGCTTTCTCAAATTGACCTGCAAACCCCTTCCATACAACACTCTGACATTACAATTATTTCTGTTTATGCGTTACCAGTCAGCAAAAAATTTCAAACAATACAACACTTCTTGCATATAAAAAGTTCAAATCTAACTCAAATTTACCAAACTGGCTAAAAACTGAATATGTGACGTAAATGTCGGTCCCGGGGTACCTGTACCTCCTTCACGGAAATAAGGATATATCAACATGTATTATATATTTTGTCTCCAAATCTTCAGAATTGATAGATAATTGAATTATGTATCACTGGTAGGAAAATCAAAGGGATTGGTCAATAAAAAGTATCTGTGTAAAAAAGCGTCCATAATTACTTATTGATCACCCCTCGTATGATACACATAGGGCAGTAAAGTATATCAATAATAGTCTCAGACAACCTCTTGACCTTTAACTATAAATTGGAAACAAATTCACCGACGAAAAATATTCAAAGACTTCAATTTGCCAAACTTGTGAGCTATAAGAACATTATATATCCTACATTCTATATTAATTTCGGCATTGGTCCTTAGGTATAATTCAATGACCAAAGACGCATCGTACGTGAACTATGAATACCACTATGGTACATAAAAAATATTTCCTATCTCATTGAATTAGCTTTATTGGTAAATTATAAAGGAGTTGTTTCTTACGTGGGTCTCTTTCACCATAGAATATTCTGAAAGAGTAAGATTTATTTTTCATTTGGGAATCTTGATCCATCAGTGTGTCATCGGTCATAAAAGACCCCTCGAATTCAGCTACATGGTAATGCCTATCAGTTGCTGCCGCTACATCATCCTCTACGGCGTGGTGTTTGATACCTATGGTATCTGGATCAGCATTAGGTTGATTTGACATAATACCAAGGATGTCTCCCTTTGTAACCTATTTGCGAAAAACATAAAAAGGTTAAAGGACGTTAACAATAATTGAGTTATTTTGGCATATTGGATATTCCCGTATTATGCGTACCTGTACTCTCCCTAAATAAAATCTACAGCCTGGTTGGTCGAGCTAGTAATAAGCGCCTCTTAATTGATAATTTCACCCCAAGAATAGGTGGTATTCTGCTATAGAACTAGCGATTAGCCTCTGCAACGGAGGATTGGTTTCTAGGGTTCCACTTAATAAGGAGTTATGTCGTGATTAAAAATTTCAAAATCAATCATCTGCCATTTTTTTCACTTCAGAATTTGAATCGCAAGTTTACTAACATAAAACAAGGAGTGATTACGATATTAGTTCAAAAATTTGGGTTGGATTTATTGCCAGTTACAATGTCAAATAATAATGACGATATTTTCATGCGTTCTTTGCAGTAGAGTTGGGACCTCGAGATCCAATCCTCCTTTGACTATATATGGTATTGGCGTTTGTAACACATTTAAATATCTATATGTCATTATTATATATATTTAATCGAAATGAACGCCAGCGGGATATAACCATATGAAATTAAGATCCTTGGCAGGCGTTCACATTTCAAAGTTTTATAAACATGTGCGTCAACGGGATGTAACAAATGAGACAGAAAAAGTGATCGCAACTCCACATTGAGAGGTGTTCGGATGTGCAGGTATCACTGTATACACAATCAATTTTTTTACACATTTTTCACATATTCACATTTCCAATGGTATATTCAAGGGAAAAAAGCTTTATTTTTGACGCTCGATTTGGGAGATCAACTTTTTTGAAAAATGTACTTTATTTCAAAATCTCAAAATCAATTCTATTTTACTCACTTTGATATTCAAAGCAATGCGATTGTATCCAGGTGCATTTGGAAATATAGAATTGAATCCCGATAATGAATAAACGCCATTGTCTTCTTCATGAAAACTTCCAATCCTGAATGGAGTTTTTGTAGACGCATAAAAGTCAATTGTGATCAGTCGCCCATTACAAGGAAACACAAAGTCTGTCAGGATGTCTACTGAGACCTCTGTTCCATCGCATTCTGGTTGTTCTGTTATGTAGCCACTGGACTTTGGACAAACTGAAAATAATTTATATATTCTGCAAATGACATGACCTTACCCCTTCCATATTATCAAAGGAATATTTTCTTTCTTCACTTTGAAAAACTTTTTCGCCACACATAAAGTAGAGGCCCATTTCTTTATAAAATGAAGCCCGTTTTCTTAAGAATGACCATTTTTCAGTAGACCCTTTTAAAACTTTAAAAAAGCGAGACCCAATCGAAAAAATATACCCACTCCCTAAGACCACATGACATGTAAGAGATAGTTCGTCAATATATTCAGAAAGCATTTCTTTAAGAATTCTCAACGTAGGCGACAAAGGATGATTTTCATTTTTTCTTTTACATACAGTTTAAGCTATGTATAAACGTTGAACTAATTTTAGTATTTAGTCCAAATGAATTAATGATTTAAACACAGTGTACTTATTTTCAAAATATCCCAAATACATGATATACAGAATATAATATAGGAATATAATCTTACCTTCTTTTATATTTGGTGACACATTTGGTATATGAGCTGTCCAAAATCCAAGGAGGAAAATCCACATTTCGGATGAGTTTTCCATTTTTCAACTCAATTATCGTTTTCCATTTTTATGTGCTATATTGTAGTATTTAAAGTTTCTAAATTTAATTTGATTTTTGATCCATTTGAATTAATTTGTTCAGTTGACTCATCTTGTTATGTTTGATGCTGGCGTTCCAATACTCTGTGTGATTTTATTCATATTTTCCGATCCGATATTAAGCCTTTGTTTCCCAAAAGTAAAATTTCAAGGTCCTCGTGTGATAAAACATGTACAAAGAGAGGAATTTGCGAAAAATTAAAAGCAGAAGTGGTGAAAAATAAGAAAGCGTATACTAGCATATGCTACACTTAAAATTGCACTGACCCTTTCTGTATTCTAATCTGAAAATGAAACCTCGTGGAATAAGCGTATGAGGAACGGGACAAAAAAGATGAGTCTGTCAGATGGTATTCTATGTTAAAAACAGGTTATAGTAAAGTGTTTCAGTTCACATTGCTACTCACTGTCAAGATTAATATCATCCGCAGTATCATGGGCGGGGCAATCAGGAATGCTACAGGCGGAGCAACTGGTTTTCCCAAAAATACACATCGAGGCGTGTCTCAAATAAAACTGTGAAGAAGTCAAATGGTAGTAAAATACCTCAGGTAGCCTAAATTCATTGTATATCATGATCACGTTCCTGGATTCGTTGTTAACTGATTTGATAGATTCTTGATTCCAAATGGTATCAATTTTAAAAATCCATTTCGTCAGCATTCAAAAAGTTGTGTTCTAGCCAAAGAAAGCTTTATATATTATGTCGGAGGGATGCACTTAATGTGATGAATACCATATGGATTATATCTACGGTGTCACATTCGCCCCATATCAATGCATTCTTTCTAACTTCTGATTAACAACTCCCATTTTCATGTTTCTATGTCATGTATGTATGTTTGTGTGTACGTATCAGGATATACATGTAATATGCCGGATGGTCCAAAAAGTGAACACCTGCAATAGGCTATATTTTCCTTAATACATGCACGAATTGGCTCATAACTAAACAAACATGCCTGAACATAAGATATTGTGCAAAATTTTACAAATGTGATTTAAGCACACAGGATGATCTTAAAAAGCTTCCGTTAAGAGATATACGTTTTAAACCCTACCATATGACAAATGGGACACTATTTGCCCAAAAAACACATATCACACTTTCATTAACCAATTTGAAGCAGTTTAACATCAGTCAAGGGGCATGTTACCTACACAATACGGTTACAGGGGTTGGCAAAGTTGCCGCCTGTGACCCAGAATCTGAGAAGCCCTTCATATGAATACCTTACTCATGCAATATTTTCAGCCATATTTCATTAAAATTGATCCATGATTAATGAAGATATTGACATTTTAAGACCACAATAGGGGTATGTTGTGATTTCAATGGAAAATATTTTCGTCTATGGAAACTTAGAACATTTCTTTGGACCACAATAACTTTGCAACTAACGGAGGTAGGACGCTAGTTTTTACACCATACTGTGTGAGATTCAACACGTAATAAAATCAGAAACTATGAAGACTTTCAGACATGGTCTAAAAATTGTTAGGGGAGTGTGTTGAAGGGTTGACGAATCGCAGATGTTGAAGTTCACATTTTATCCATTTTCAGTAATATTTGGTTAGGGCTTATAATTTCTGCAAATTGCACGACTAAGAAAAATGTATGGTACCAACAAAAACTTTATACCTTCCTCTACAACATGTGAAAATATGTAATTATTCCTGCAGGTAATAAGGGAAATATAGCCCGTTTCAGCGGCTTACTTTATAGACTACCCTGTACTTATATTGACTTTGCTTCTCAGTAACTCTCGATTTAAATGTTCCTCATTCTAAAGGATGACAGACATAATATCATGACATATTTCTCGGGAGTATATTTTATTGATAAACGTATCTATTATTCATGCGATTCTTCCACAACGTGCTTTGCCGTTATGACTACAGTACAGTATGTATATAAATGATATGTATACCTGAGGGTTTTTGCTCGGCATCACCAATCCAATTAAATTATTTCTATCAAATAGTTGGTTGGACTTGAAGAGTAATCCCATGTGTGACTAAAAAGTAAGACACACCAAACAACTCAAACATAGGCCAACGGTACCATAATTGATAATTGAAACATATGATATGTTTACAGGGTGTCCCGAAAGTATGCCCCCCCCCCCCCTAGGCAGACATATACCAGTGTCGTCATAGGATGTGTCATATATTATTTTAAAGCTTATCCAAAGTTACATTGATTCGCCAAGTATCATGGTTCAACTCTCAAATGTGAGAAAATTACAGGCATTTCAAAATTTAGTGTTTGGTCAAAATTAAGTTCAATTTTACACCAAATCAATAGTCAATGTGTCCTCCTGGGCCATCTTAACAGCAGCAATTCTTTTCGGGTCGGATAGATATTGAGTTGGAAAAAGAGAACGGTGAGGGTAGAAACTCTAAGGAAACTCTTCTAAAGTGCCTTAACAGGTTTTAAGAAGGTTATAAAATTCCACACCCCTATTTGAAGGGCTTTTAAGGTCATATCTGAAAATAATTGCTGCTGTTAACATGACCAAGGGGGGACTCATTGATTAGTAATTTGGTGTAAAATTGAACTTTATTTTGACAAAACACTAACTTTTAAAATGACTGTAACTTTTTCCAATTTGGGAGTTAAACCATGATACCTGGAAAATCAATGTAACTTTGGATAAGCTTTAAAATGATATATGACACATACTATGAGGACACTGGAATATGTCTGCCTAGGGGGGGGCATACTTTCAGGACACCCTGTAGTTGACTATTCCCATACCACTGTGTCCTTCTTATGTATACTTACCAGCTTCTGGACCTAACATCATCAATTACCATCAATTACCGGGGTTTTCTGAGCCTAGGAAGTACATGCATGCTCATTTGTAATCTTTACAATCGATATGTAAAATGGTTTGCCGAGATGTTATTCGGTTTGGTTCTTTTTTGCCACACATAATAGCAGCAATACAATTCTTTTCCAAAAGGAGATATAATCATGTTAACCAATCTTCAAAAGCACCGAAGCCTTGGGGGTCTAGTTGGAATAAATTACTTTTCTTGAAGATGGAACTCTCTTTCAAAGAGAGTAAAAGTAAACTATATTTACAAGGACACAGACGTGTGAAAAATGTCCCCGTCAATGGGTGATCCTATAGATATACGTTTTTCATCCTGAATGCCCAGTACTAAACAGTTGAAGAAGTAAGATCTCTCAAACGGTTCGCCTGGCTAG